CCCACCCCCTCTCTAGACGTTGAATTTCCCATTTCGGGCCCTACCCTTTCTGGAGGAAGGACTGCAGGGATCACAGGAAGCCATCGCCCCTGGTGTCTTCCCAGCGCCTCTCTTTCTGGCGGGCGCACCTCTCGCCCTCAGCGGACGCTGGTCTCTGGCAGGGCTCAGCCTCTCGGTTCCTCGGCTCTGCTGGCAGCGTTGGCAACTCTCTGGAACAGCCCCCCCCCCTTCCCCGTGAGCTCGGTTCGGGGAGCAGCTACGTCTCCCCCTTTTGAAACCTTCACCGAGCCGCTCCGGAGGCCGAGGTTTCCGATTCCGAAATGCGTTTTGCGCTGTGGGAACCTGGTACGCAGGCTTGGCTCTTTGTTGTCATTCCCACGGACCTTTTGCCTCTTTCAGCCCTTCTCTGAGCTTCTGTGTGGCTGACCCCGCAGTGACCTAGAGGCAGGTTTTCTTCCCTGTTTTAGTTTGCAGGGAGCAAGGATCATTCTGAGGTTGAGGAGGTGACCCCAGTTTTTGTTGGGAACGAAGGAGAGAGAGCTACAGTTGCTTTTCAGTTACTGGAAAGAAGGGATCCACGACTTGCGCCCATTCTTGAGAGACAAACGTTGCCTGCAGTTTGGTTGGAGGCCTGCGGTGCTCTGTAGGACCCCGACCCGACAATGGGTAGTTTCTCAGAGTACTGGTCAGTGCCACTTTCTCTGTTTTCAGAGATGAAGGCTCCGTTCTCCAGTGCTTGATGTTCCTGGCATGGGTAGATTCAGATACTGACAGTTTCGCGCCAGTTTGTTTGCCCGTTGTTAGCTACATGAGGACCAAGGAGGTGTTTTTCATTTCCATCCTACCTGATTCAGCACTTGGTACAAAGTTGTCACTCAGAAAATTTTACGCACACACACACACACACACACACACAGAGATTTTTTTTTTAACCCTGAAAATCTGTTAATAAGGCTTCCCCTTGAGTAACTCCCTCTTGACCTCTTTTTCTGCCCCAGAAACATAAATAATTGTTCTTTTTTTCTCTAGTGCCACTTTTCTCATTTCAATAACCTCCACAACCGTGTTTTCATCAGCTCCGAATAAAAGTGAAATCTGTGAAGTTGATTTTTCCCATTTCCCATTGTTCACGTGGGAGCAGCGTCAAGTCTTCCACGTTTATTTGTGCATCTGCCTGAAATGGGGATTGGAAGTAAAGTTAACCTTTGGGGAATGGGTACAGGTAGAAGATGAAGAATACAACTTTAAGGAAAACAATGAGATGTGACGTGGAAATTTTACAAATTCGATACCTTCCTACAAATTAGAGCGTAAGAGGTGGCTTTTTCTCTATTTAACTGCCTGGGCACTCTGGATGAATGTGCTGTTACCTCTAGAGAAGAGCATGAGGCAGGGATTCATGGAGTTTAAGTTCTTTGTGGCTTTGGAATTACTGTTCTTGATGACCCTGTATAGGGGTCAGGCGAGACTCCTGCTTACTTTTCCCCTATGTCTGTCTTCTAGGCTCCCACACCAGCGGCGAGAACACTGCTTCTTATTACAGCTGCGCAGAAACACCACTGGAAGCTCAGGTATTACAGGCGCTTTGGATACCTTGTTAAAAAAAAAAAAATCTGGGATTCAACAGTGGAAAACAGAACAGAGTGTAATGTAGAAATCTCTTTTCAGATCCAAAGAACGGGAGCCTGATTGGAAGAAATAGGTGACAAAGTTC